TTCAGAGTAGCTTATGCAGCTAATATCTCCGAGCATTTAACCATCAGATGAGTGATAAACCACCACGCCGACAACTACTTCCCCTACTCTTTTCGATCAGTGTGTGGGTTCTTTTACGTCCCACAGAATTAATTGTGAAGAGTTGTGAGACGGGGCCTACGGTTTATCGTCCTTATCCGAGAAGACTAGAAAGTCTAACCATTTGCAGATATTATTACAAAGGCAGCACTTGGACTACGAAAGGCTTGGACTACGAAATCGATGCTTGGGATCAAATGAACAAGTCGGAGGTAACAATGCACAAGGGTTGTGTTGTTGGTTCTTACTTAAATTGACTAGAAACTGGTATGTGGTTTTTCTTTCAATCCTATTTCTATAAAACTCGCTTTTAGAATTTACTTAGGTGGGAAGGAATCCTAAGGATATGGTTGAGTGCTTGCTCAGTAATGTACTTCAAGCACATTTTACTCCCAAGTCTTGGTATGACATTTTGTATTGCAAAAATCTTTTGCTAAGATATTTTCAGGGATTTTGCGTGATTTTACCCCGATTGTCAACCTCTTATTTAGTTTTGCTAATAACAATGTAAAATAGTCATAAAGCCCTTCGAAACAATGTTATCCTTGCGTCGCTGAGAAGCTTTAATAAATGTACGGTACGTGCTTATTCATAACTATTTGTTGTGTCTGATGTTTCAATGAAATCTGCGATGTACTGGTTATGCAATGCTTTCGAGTTAGATATGATACGATATCTCACGAGTCACTTGTATTTTCTCAGTATACACACTCGCCTTAATGCCAAAAACAACAACAACCAAAAAAAAAAAACAAGTGAGAAGTGGGATATTCCACGACGAAGCATTGCATTGCCACTGCATTGGTTGGGTGTGTAATACATGTAAATAAAGGATATTACACGGTGGCGAGAAGACTTCAATTTTATCTGCACTCACTCTTGAGATATTCTTTTTACCACTCGAACATAAAATTCATATTTTTCAGCCAACGAGTAATGTTCTTTTTACAGAGCAGACAAAAAATACAGAAGCGAATCGAAAACACAAACCGTATGTGATCTGCAGCTCGGCGGCTGGAATATCTTGAACAAATCTCCTCTGGTTTACTTTGAGGAAACTCCTTGAACAGTTTTAAGCCACATGAAGTTTCCTTCTTCATTTTGGCATTTCATGCTCCTTAGTGGAGAATTTTAAGTCGGCATCAGAAAATTTAACTTCCCTCGCTCGCCATCTTTCCAATAGCGTTTGGCAAGGTTTGGCAGCCGTGCACTGTAATGGCTCGAAAGCACGTCATAAAGATATCACACTACTAGTGAGGATATGGAAAATACGCCACTACCGTCCCAGAGGTAAATTCTTAAGAATTTTACAATTGGTGTATTTTCAGCAGAACACTCGTGTCTGAATAATAATGACGAGTACCCGTGACGAGTACCCGAGTACGAGTTACTACCATTATTTATTGAAAACTGAAAACAAGAATAGTTTTAACATGTTTTAAAGCCCCTCACGTAATCAGTTGCCTATTCCCTAGGCCGCCGTCAATCCCTTTTGACCGTGAGGGCCTGGGAGAAAGCCATATAGGAAGTAGAATTGCAGGCAAAACAATCAGTCATCTGTCACGCGCTGCAAATTCATCAAATTGGCTCACATGAAGTATCCAAAAACTCTAATTTTCAACACAGTAGGTCTTGTAAAAGTGTCACTATTTTAAAACAAGTTACACCGAAAGGTAAGATACTGTAAGCAGTAAAATGACATGAGCTTTAGAACAACCATTCAACTCCAATTTGGCAGAGGAACGAGTGGCCCGTGATAGATCACGATATTTGTGCACCAGAAGATCGCTTGCATAAATCTACTAGCGTTCTTTCGCGAATGCCGTTCTCTTTTGGCTGCACTTCTCACTATACTGTTGTAGAGAGCGAATAATCCAATTGTAAATGGAAGTCCTTATTAGAAGTCCTTAATCGTTAAAACGGTTCAAAGAAGGAACACATAGGAGAATGAACCTGTCTGGTAATATTGTACATTTTACGTTACTTGCATTTTGGCTTCCTCTACCGAACCCTGAAAGTATTGCATATAAATACTATGCAATGCCTAATTTTTGATAGGCTTCTATAAATAGGGCAGACGAAGAGTTTTTCTGGGCAAAATGTTGAATATTGTTTAAGATTGTTTAGGCCGCTATTATGTGTTATTGACGTTCGGATTACGTGACTACATAGGAAGAACCCAAGGTAATGGCAGGGGTGCAGGATGCCAAGATTGAGCTTCAAGGAATAAACAAGTCTCTCTGTGTGAACTTGGCTCGCGACTCCAAGGTAAGATCTTTAAACAAATTCAGACAGTAATATGTTGAAATCCCGCTTGCTGGTGATCAAATGAACGTGTAATAACAACTTAATGTCTGGAAAGTCAAGATAATTATTTACGCTGAGCAGGCTGAAAAGATTGACTGCTTTCTTGTCTTTTGGTTGTCTTTTGAATTTTCTGTTTCTCATGAAACGGAAAATTCCCATTGGTTGAAAGGNCTAAACAATTGTGTCACGCTTATTGTAGTCGACAAATGCCACACCGTGTAACGGCTTCGGAATAAATTCTTCGCAGATATGTAAGACGTGTTGCCAAGATTCCCCAAGCGAATAGCAAAAGAACGCATATCCTACAAAAACTGGAAGGAGTGCTTGATTTCGGCTTTCTCCCCTTTTAGCAGCTTTTCTTGGAGTCGAAAGAAGTCGTCTGAGACGACATTCTCGACACACGAACACACGTACGTGATGTTGTTTGCAAACTGATACTTGCAATCAATCAAACAAGCAATTTACCGCTCAAATTTTACTGATTTGATTTAGTAAATTTATGAATGGGTGGACTTGTTAGCAACAAGACGATAGCAGGGGGAGGAGCCTAATAAGTCCACTTTTTCCCAAAGATGTCTACAGCCTCTCTATTCTTCTTGCTCGCTTCGCTCGCAAACCCCACCCCCCACCCCCGCGTGCCTCGCGCTCGCTTCGCTCGCTTTTTCTTTCGCGTATGTGAATATAGAGAGGCTGTGAACAGTCTACTACATATCTACATATCTACATATCTAGAAAAAGAGTCGCAAAAAGCATACCCTGGTCCCAGAGGTTTTTCTTGATTTTTCTTCTTTTCGCGAAGCGGCGAACACGAGTTTTCACCGCTTCGCGGCTCTCTCGCAGCTCTCTCATGCGGAGAAAAATCAAGAAAAACTTCTGGGACCAGGGTACAAAAAGCACTCCAAAACGAAAAGTTAATGAATGAACAGTATATATTTTCTACAAGGGAAAATTCGTTAACAAACGTGTTGCATTTCTATATTGCAGGTAATGGATTGCGAACAAAATAATGATCTATTATGGGAGACAACCATCACACAGGGGAACAAACAACAACAACAACAACAAAAACAACAACAACAACAACAAAAACAACAACAACAGCAACAACAGGAATGCTGCCCCATGTCGACGTCATCCCGTCAGCCTGACAGCTTGTACGCGTACCTGGTGTGCTTCTGTGGTGTTGTGTGTAATTTAATCGTGTTTGGTTGTTCTTACTCATACGGTCTTTTGTTTCCATTAATTCTTGATGAGTTTAAAGAAGGAAAAGCGAAAACAGGTAATTCAAATAGCTTAGACAGTTGACTCTTTTTGCTTCCCTTCCCGAGAAGAGAAAATTATTCGGATTCGTTGGATTTGTCCATCCCGGTACGCCCTGATTTTCTCATGTAGTTTTCCATTTGGAAGCATCCAGAATCGCTTTATTAGAAAGTATTTCAGAGGGCCTTTCAATGGGGGCCCATCAACCTCATCGGCCTTTCCATTTCAAAAGGTTTGATCCTACTCAAGTGAGCTTTGTCTCTTGTCTGTGTTGCTGCGGGCATTTCTTTAATCACTAGTCGTCGGCAGTCATAGACAAAATACGTGTGTGCTGTATTCATGGGAAAATCAACTCACGACCAAGTTACAGTGATACTCCCAAAACAGAGTTTAAGTTTGCTTAAATGCCTAAGACGTGTAGAAATCGTGGAATGCAGTGCTCACGAACTTAAATATAAACAAATAAACAAGCGAACAAAAACGAAGAAAAAAACAAACAAGTTTTACGAGCAGAGAACACGAAAATCGTAAAATAAGGGAGAAAATTTTCTTATTCCATTTCGAGCATGCAGTGGTTTGTGAGTAACAAGAGAAAATGCGGTCTGCGCTTGTAGGAGAAGGTTAGTTGAGCACAAAAATAATCAGAGGGAGCGGCAATTCTTGAAGCCTGCTAAGCAAAACTTCTATTGGCTTGCCATGGACTCCTTTCCCAAAGGAAAAGAGAATTTCTCCGCCCGTAGGAGGCCGTAATTCTCGTAGCTTCTTCTTGGCGTACGTAACGAAACAGATAACCCACTTTGCTCTTATGATTCTACGGACTGGAACAAACGTTACCTAACCTTTCTAATTGCTAAATGGAAACTCATTTCTGTTTTGCCTTTTTATCTTGTCAGCCTGAGTAGGTTCTCTGGCATATGGCTCTACAGGCATATTTGGGCCTGTCGTTGGAGTTCTCTCTGATCGATTTAACCCTCGTATCATTGCGATAATTGGCGGTTTCATATCTACCATCGCCCTCATAGTGACGTCACAGGCTCCAAACCTAACACTGATGTACTTCTCGTATGGGATCCTTTACGGGTTTGGGTCGTCTTGTGTATTCTTTGTTGTTTTGATTATATTGCAAAGGTACTTCATTAAGAACCGCTCTATGGTGATTGGTCTTGCTGTAACGGGGCCCGGAGGAGGACTTCTTATCATGAGCCCCGTCATACAGATCTTATTGAATAACACCTCGTGGAGAATGACGTTTATGTCCATGGCAGGAATCGTGTTTTTGACTTGTATCTTGTCGTGTTCATTTGATCCGAACGTTTCTTCAGAAAGCGAGTCAAGTGATCATCACCACACGCAATCACGGAGGTTAAACGTATGTGCAAGTTTGGATTTTTCATATTTGAAAAACAAGGAATATCTTGTGTATTTGGTGGCAAGCAGTGTGGCGTTTAATGGCATCGCCATCCCAATCGTACATCTGGTAAGCTATCAGCCACACAGCTGCAGGTACCTGTTATGCCGTAAACTCAAACACCGAATGATCTGAGCTCTCGGTGGTACACCAAATAAGATTCAGACCTTTACGATCCGAATGCAATAAAGTGACATAAAATCTCTCACATACTTACAAAAATCTCCTACTTACAATTACCATTACCAAAGAGAGATTTGATCGCGCATTTTACAAAGCGAAGAAAAGCTTTATCCAAGAAAGAATTGTCAGTTCTACTTTTTGTGAGCAACATAAATTTCGAGGTTCAGTTACGAAAGGATAGTGCTGATAAAACATGATCACGAGTCTTTTTCTTGAAAAGGAAACTTATTCTAGATTTTCGATGTTAAAATGCCATAAATTGTAGGTCATTAACTGCAACCCTTTTTAATGTCCACAGTTGGGACATTTAGAATACTCAGCCTTGGTTTCTATGAGGGACAGCCAACTAGTCCACCCTCGTTGACTTTTCGCTAATTGAAAACTTGGAGCACTTTCCATCGATGAAAAATTCTGGTTTTAATTCCGCACAATTCCAGTGAGGATTGGAATCCGGAATTTCGGAAAAGAGGACAAGCTCCCAGCGTATACCCAAAGTTTCGCATTTTTGTTTACCGGAAATTTCCGTTCCATCTGATTTTCCTGTCGAAAATTCCGGTTGAGTGGTTTGCTTTTCGAAACTTCTACAATTTTTGGAAACTTTTCTGAGAAATTTCCGTACCATTATTTACCTTTTCAAAATTTTCGGAATTTTTGGTTGAATTGAAAGCGCCCTCAGGCTCGTACTCTCATAGTTAAGTAACATCAATTTCATTTTGCCGTACAGGGTCGATATTGTCAAGAGCTTGGAATAGATGCTAACCGTGTAGCAGAGATGTTTTTCTTTAACGGACTGGCATCGACTATTTTCAGGGCCGTCACCGGCCGACTTTGCGATATCAAGAGAAACTGTCCCATATGGATCATGAGATTCACAGTGCTTGTATCTGGAACACTGGCGATTTTAATGACGCGGTGGCCGTCATTCAAGCAGCTTTTGGCGTCTTTTGTTGTTTATGGGATGATGGATGGCGCTATCGCTTCATCATTGAATGTCCTGGTTCTATCCACGTTAACCCCGAAACAGAAATCTCAAGGAATAGGCTTTTTTCATTTGTGTGTTGCAATAACACTGATAGCTGGTCCCCCCTTTGGAGGTACAGTATGCTTAAGGTGGCTCCCTATAGTTTTATGATCGCACGCTCGCTGAGGACGAAAGCTCATGCAGAAAGTAATCTGCGCGTTCGAAGGAAAACATCAATGTTTTTCGATATTTTATGCCGTAAACATTAGCACAAAAAGCAAAACTGACAGCGAATTTTCTCGCTTTTCCTTCGGTGAAATTCTGTATAATTTGGCAGACTGGTAGTACATATTTTTCTGTAGCCGGAGCTCGTTTTTCGTGGAAATCCATAAGACCAGTTTTTTCGCAGCGGTAAAAGACAAAGATTTACAAAAATCGAAAAAACTGCCTGTACAGACCCCACTTTTTTGTGTTTAAAATTCGTATCCCACAGGATGCGATGTGCTGTGAAACGTTTGGAAGATTTCACCGAAGGAAATTTAAGAAAATCACAAATAAAGCCATAAAAAGTAAAAACACGTTTGTTTGGGGATGTATAATTCAAGACTAAAACTCAAAATTTTAACAGAGATGACAGTAAAACACTATTTAATCATTGTTTATTACATGTAATAAGTTTGAAAGGACTGGGTGTAAAAACGAATGCAAAAACAGCATTCTCCCTTGCTCCATATTATGGTACACACAAGGGAACGTTTTCAAGTTTGTTCAATTTGCACCGGGATCTTGCTCCCAAATATTGAACCGCTTTAATATTGTGGTGCATTTTGCAGGGTGGAAATTCTGCTCCCGAGAATGAATTACGCCCATGAAATCGTTGGTACACACGGAGGAGCTTTGCTCTCGGAGCGTGCCCCTGGAGCAAAACCCTTCGTCTGTATCGGCCTTGAGTGCTCTTGGGTTCATGTCCCGACCAGTCGTGGATCGCGAGCCTGTGCGCATTTGTTTGCTTCTCGCAGACTAAACTTTTGACCGCTGACCAGTACGTCGTACGCACGGAGGAGCTCTGCTCCCGGAGCGTGCCTCTTGTTTAAGGTTCGCCAACTGGCGTAACCGTTTCGTCTGTTTGTCATCCTCAGGTGGTATTCCCTTCCTAACGCCTAGGTCGTCGCGATGTTGTAGCCATTGTCATAACTACACTGTTAGCACAAAGACTTGATGCTTTTCTGTTTTCACTCATACATAATAAACAAACAAGTAATAATCATAAAGTAGGTAAATAAGTAAATAAATAAATAAATAAATAGGTAAATTAATCATGTAAATAAATTAAAAAAAAACATATCAAGTAATAAATGGATAAAAATAATTAATGAATGAATTTCTTACATTTCGTCTTTCTGTCTTCCTCACAGGATTTATCGCTGATTCATTTGGCTCCTACAACCCTGCTTTCTACCTTGCAGGATCGGTGCAGATTTTAGCTGCTGGAATCCTCTTCTTAACTCATACGTCTTGTCAAACCGTGCTGTCATCGCTAGCACTGCTGTACAGGACATTAGTGTAGAAAACAGACCTGTCGTTGAGAAAATCCCGGTCTCGTGAAAACGAGTCCTATCCAAAGTCTTAAAGTCAGGATGAAATAAGCGAGCGACTGAAGTGATATATCCAACACGAGAGACCGTGGTTTACCACATTTCCAAATACGGAGAAGAGAGTTGAAAATACGCGGAACTCTGTCTTGAGTGTTCCTGATCCTCTTAATCGAAACTAAAACCAAGAAAAAAACGGAGAAATAAAATCATAAAAAAATCTATGCTTGGAGGCCTTATTCACAATAGCCACTATGATGGTTTTCCTTTGATAATGCAAATAAACCATGCCGGTCCTCTAGGAGGGGGGTGGGGGGGGGGGCATACACTGGAGAGAAGACAGACTCGTTCCAATGGTGAAACACTTGTGCCAAAATAATTATTGAGGGCCAATTTGATATCAGCACCGTAGACACTTCTTCTGATTGGCTGATTGCGAATTTAGGTATTCTAAGTGGAGATATTGGCAAAGTGTGAAGTCAAGGTGGGTGGATATCGGTCAAGATTTATTTTTGCGTGTTTATAGAAATCTCAGTCAAGCTTTTAAATGCTGTTAGCCTGTTCAACTAAACCTTCAGTTCTAAAAACTAGGTATGAAATGTGAAATATAGAATTGTGGCTTGCAACGGCTAACTCATTGGTAAAATCATTCTAGTACATTTATGTTTAATTTTTATTTCATTTCCGGTCGAATATTGCCTGCTTGGGTGAAACATGCATAACAACAGAATGCAGAAACTAGAAAACTTGAAAATGACTCGCTTAGCTTTCCCGAATAGCGGCTGATAATCGAGCCAAATCAGTTGACCGTTTAAACAGCAGTAATCAAAGATTACAAAATAGCTACATATAAAAATATATGCGTTCAATTAGCTTCGATTTGATTGATACTTAACCATAGTTTTGCTGACAGATATAACATCATGTGAAAAAGCGCAGAATTTCCCTGCGGATGTAGTTATGTGAGGGTTCAACATAGGGTTCAACATGTTTCCAATCCCGCAATGTACTGCTATTTGTGGCTCAATCCTGACATCCCGCCTCACTCAGAATGGCTATCCCAATCCAGCCTTGTAAGTTGCAGGTTCTTCAATATTGCGTTCGACGCTAGGCTCGATTTCTGCCGCTCTCTCAGGTCCGCGTGCCTCCCCTCTTTTCGGGGGGTGAGCGCGGGCTCATTTCCCGAAACAGCGGCTGGTAATCGAGCCTAGTTCGACGCGTGCGATTTTCTGTTTTTCATCCCGCATCCCGTTCCCACCATGAAAATGTTTTGCCATCCCGCCTCCCGCCTCCTTTTTTACTTTCATTCCGCCAATTTTATGTTGGACCCCTTGTCATAAGGCAATCTTGTGCAAGCATTCGTACGGCGCTGGCTACAATAGGTAAGTTATTTCGTCTTTGTTTTCGTTTTGGTGATTTATTTTACTTTTGACACTTCGGAAAACAGCCTAATAAGTGTCAGACTTCCCCTCCAAAAGACTAAGATCAAAGTTCTTTCAGATACTCAGACAAATTTATATATTTATTGTGTTCGCAGTTAATTACTTTGGTATTGTTATTAGCATTTTGGATCGAAAGGTCCGCGGTTTTAAGGTTCCATAATCGCCAATCATCTTTTTCCGTGCTCGGACCATGAATACAGTTGCTCGAGGTTCACGCTTGTAGCGCTCATCCGACCCATGGAGGGTGTGTCGAGCGATCTTTGTCTGATTGGCAGCATAGAAATTGTTCTCGTGCCTGCATTTTATTACAAGTTCAGATCGTTTGTTTAGAAGCGTCGATTTGTCCGCTGATAGAATGCAGAGTTTTTCTGTCAGACACAAACTGTAGCGTGACGGGGTTCCCTTGTATCGACTTGCTCGCGTGACAATAGACCACTTGATCGAGAAATTTCAGGTCGCAGATATAGTTATAAAATTATGGTAATAGGACTATTGGGTCTGTGAACATACGAGTGATTAACAAAATCGGACGACCGCGAAGCGGGAGTCCGATTTGTTGATCAGGAGTATGAATACAGACTGAATCGGACGACACGATGTCCTGTTACCAATTAATCATAACCATTACGTTTTCCCACAAAAGAGAAATTTTAATAGAGCAAAAAGAGGTTTTAATAGTCATTTTAATTGTCATGATTAAAATATGGAGAATAGCCTGCAAAATGGCTGTTAAGTTTCTGTCAAAACAGTGACCGGAGAATGAACCTCAATTTTACAAAGTCAGTCTCTTGAATTGGTTACTAAAGTGATTGTAATCAACGTTGTGATTGGTGGATTTTGTGGAGAGGACTCAAAATGATTGGCTACTGTAAATGTCCGTTTACAGGTGTTCGATTACAGCCAACTGTCCGATTATAACTTTGCAGATTAATTAGAGCAAAATACAGCAGTTTATGCACCAATNTCGTTTGTTTAGAAGCGTCGATTTGTCCGCTTATAGAATGCAGAGTTTTTCTGTCAGACACAAACTGTAGCGTGACGGGGTTCCCTTGTATCGACTTGCTCGCGTGACAATAGACCACTTAATCGAGAAATTTCAGGTCGCAGATATAGTTATAAAATTATGGCAATAGGACTATTGGGTCTGTGAACATACGAGTGATTAACAAAATAGGACGACCGCGAAGCGGGAGTCCGATTTGTTGATCAGGAGTATGAATACAGACTGAATTGGACGACACGATGTCTTGTTACCAATTAATCATAACCATTACGTTTTCCCACAAAAGAGAAAGTTTAATAGAGCAAAAAGAGCTTTTAATGGTCGTTTTAATTGTCATAATTAAAATATGGAGAATAACCTGCACAATGGCTGTTAAGTTTCTGTCAAAACCGTGACCGGAGAATGAACCTCAATTTTACAAAGTCAGTCTCTTGAATTGGTTACTAAAGTGATTGTAATCAACGTTGTGATTGGTGGATTTTGTGGAGAGGACTCAAAATGATTGGCTACTGTAAATGTCCGTTTACAGGTGTTCGATTACAGCCAACTGTCCGATTATAACTTTGCAGATTAATTAGAGCAAAATACAGCAGTTTATGCACCAATCACATTTGAGGAAATTGTAATTGTTATGATTAAGACCGGCAGAAGAGCGGCGTTTGAATCAGTTTGGTTTGGTAGGTTAAGTTTGGTGCGGCAAACAACATTAAATTCGGCAGGGTCTGTCGCACTATGCGACGTTGGAGGGGCAGCTGATTCATACGGCG